CCTTGTATCAGCTGGGGCTCACAGGTAGGTCAGAAGCACAGCTTTTTCTTCTCCTCCCTAGGTAAATCTTCTCAGTGAAAGGAGGGAGGGCTGTGGAGGACTTTTTGGCTTTTCGTTTTTAGTTTTGTTTTTATTTTTTGGTTTTTCAAGACAGGCTTCTCTATGTAGCTTTGGAGCCTGTCCAGGAAATTGTTCTGTAAACTAGGCTGGCCTCGAACTCAGAGTTCTGCCTGCCCCTGCCTCCCAAGTGCTGGGATTAAAGGCGCGTGCCACTACTGCCAGGCAGGTTTTTTTTGTTTTTGTTTTTGTTTTTTATCTCACTAATTTCCAAGGACTCTAGCAATTTTCGTTTTATCTTAGATTTGTAGAATTTAATTTTCCTTTGTTCGTCTGTTTGTTGTTGTTGTTTGTGTTTGTTTTTCAAGGCAGGGCTTCTCTGTGTAGCCCTGGCTGTCCATAACTAGCTCTCGTAGACCAGGTTGGTCTCAAACTCAGATATCCCCATGCCTCTGCCTCCCCCAGTGCTGGGATTAAAGGCCTACACCACCAACACCTGGCTAGGTATGCAGAATTTTAAATCTCAAGAAACATTCAGCTTCCTTTTTTCCCTTCATGTAGTCAGTGGGAAGAAGAGGAGGAGGAGGAGGAAGAGAGGAAAACCCACCCACATGTAACAGGAAGTAAATACACATTGGACACTGTTGAAAGCATTTCGTCTGGGTGTGGTGCCTCATGACTGCACTCCCAGCGCTCTGTAGGCTTGAGGCAGGAGGATGCTGCAAACTTGATGTGTACAGCAGGTTCCCAGGCCACGTTGGCCTAGAGAGTGACACCCTGTCTCTAGAAACAAACAAAAGCAACTCAGCCTTATAAAAATCACTTAAACTCGAATCCCTTCATCTTTCTGTAGTCCCCGCGGAACATGGAACATTCCCTTTGGCCTAGGGGTATAGCCCAGTGGGTAGTAGAGCACATGCTAATACGCCAATCGCTGCAGACACAGAACTTCTCAACGTGTGATGTTTTCATATTTGTAGGTCTATAATAGAGACACACATATACTCGTGTTTATATACACATACATATAAACACATATGTACACACATATATGCACTTAAACGCATACACATGTATACATAAATATATATACTGGAACATATACAATGCATATGACATTGATATGTTTAAGTAGACACAAGTAGACAGGGAAGTTACAAAGAAAGCTGACCTTGAGTCTGAGACACTGAAAGCGCCACGGGTTTTGAGTGGGAAACTGTACAATTTTGTTTATCCCAGCTCTTTAATCATGTAAGAAGATCTTTGGGTCCTGGAGAAGCTGTTTGGTTTGCCCGGGATCTTTGAGACTCCCCTTCTGGACATGCTGTATAATTTTGCACTTAACCTCATGGGCTTCTGTGCCCTTATCGCTCAGACAGGCTCCCAGGGAGCCGGGATCCCAAAGGCAGTGAAATGTGCAGGCTTTGACTGATTTTTTTTTTTTTTTTTTGGTTTTTCGAGACAGGGTTTCTCTGTGGCTTTGGAGCCTGTCCTGGCACTAGCTCTGTAGACCAGGCTGGTCTCGAACTCACAGAGATCCGCCTGCCTCTGCCTCCCGAGTGCTGGGATTCCACCATCGCCCAGCTATGCGCAGGCTTTGAAAGGGTAAGCTTGGGAGCAAAAAAAAAGAACATTTAGGAGTGCAACTGGCTGCTGGAGACTCGAACTTGTGACCAGTGTGGATCAGTGTGTTTGGGCCCTGGACAGCTTCTAAGTGTCTTTCACTAAAAGGGTAAGAAGTGGGAGGTGGGACTTCCTTCCTCAGGGGCTCTGAACATTTTTCACCAGCCCCCAATCTCAGGAGAATCCAACTTGAACCGCTTCCTTTCGTCCAAGTGGTGGCAGATGCTACCCCATCCCCAACGGCCCTATCATGCTTCCTGCCTCCTCCAGCCTCTTCCAGCCTCCTCAGCTCCACTTTACATAGTTTTGGGCTTTGCCAGAGTGCGGCTGTTGTACTTTTTGGATTCCCCTCCCCCCAACACTTATCATTTTAGGCTGTGCTTGTATTAATGACTTAGCCAGTGAGGGTTATTAAAATTGACTACAGTCTCCGAAGAAAGGGTAGTTTGTCAAAGCTACATCCTAAGACTAATTGGATACATTTTGCATGAATTGTGATTAATGCAAGGTAATTTCGGAGGATGGTTTCTGCTAATTAATAACTCGGTCACATTTGACTCCTCTTGATAGAGCAAACTTCACAAGCGCATTGTGAACGTGGTCAGAACAGGGTCCCTCGCATACAGGTCAGTGTTTTGAGGTGGTTCTTAGGAGAGCTAACAGCTTGAGCAATCTTTTAATTCAGAAACAATTGCTTAATGTAGGTCCTCTAATAATAATAATAATAAACAAGCCCAGGACGGGAAACTGTGGAACAGCCCGGCGTTCCAACACCCTTTCATATCTTGGTTGATTTAACATTTACGACAAAGGTCCTGGTCTCAGGAAGGCTTGGGAAAGTTCGGTTAGAGGCTTCACACTGTCAACAGCACCAAGGGGACAGAAGAAAGCTACAGGGCGTTTGAGACAAAAAAAGACTACAAAGGGTCCCAAAGGCTGGCAAGAAGGCTCAGAAAGTGCTTGATGCGTGACAACCCCGAGTTCGGTGCTCAGGACCCACATGGCAGAGGAGACAACTGACTCCTGCAGGTTGGCCTTGGACCCCCACACATACACAGTGACACACGAGTGTTCTCATACCTACACACTACTATAAAAACTCAGAACAAAATAACACTGCTCTGAGAGGTTACACGTCGCATCAGAGCCCTAGGATGCTTCTAAAGCAAGTGCAGGTGAACCCTGTCCTTCCCTCAACCAAATTTTAGTGAGCCGGAAAGGCACCACAGTTACAGCTGCTGGAAGGGACATGGCTTGTGCTTTTCCCCGCAGGCCGGAAGGGACACAGAAAACAGCTGTCACTCAAAACATCTTGCTCCTCTCTACCTAAGCAGTGGGGAAGTCTGACTCAGGCATGCTCACACTTATAAACCGCCAGGACCAAATCAACAGAAAAGCAAAGTTCGGTGGCCGCTTTGCCGCGCCCCTGGACAGACTAATTCCACGCAGACCAGTTTAAAGAAGGAGTATTTTCTGTTTCCAGCTTCCAGGATTGGGAAAGCTTCCTCAGGGAGGAACAGGTGTGTAATGAATATCCAAAATACAAAAGAGGGTGGAGCCTGGAGCCCGACCCTCCCAGGGCTTTCTAATCTCAGCAACAATGGGAGAAGAACACACCTCCCTTTGAGAATGTACAGTGATGTCAGGCCCAGGACTTTGTCCACAAATTCCTTCCATACTTCAGATGGATCCCAGTTAAAATGTGACCGGGAGATAGATGTGCACAGGTTTTCTGTGGAAGGGGGTGAGGCAGGAATGAAGGGCACATAACTACATAAAGGGGAGGAGGGAGGAGGGAGAAGAAGGACCAGAAACTCAGCAGGACCCTGAGCCCCAAGCCGCTCCCCCATTTCTCCATTCATTTGACCATTCAGGTATGGGGTTTAGTTAAGTCAATTTGGTAGGGGGATGGGGAAGAGGGAGAATAAAGAAAAAGTAAAAACTAAATGTTTAAAAGAACCTGTAGAAAGTTACATTGTTTTTGAAAGGAGCCCGTTTAAATTTTTTTTATTTATTTGCACATGTACTTATTTAATTAACTTAACAAGGATCAGAAGCTTTGGAGTTTGTCCTGGAACTAGCTCTTGTAGACCAGTCTGGCCTCGAACTGGCAAAGAAAGATCCACCTGTCTCTGCCTCCCGAGTGCTGCTGGGATTAAAGGCGTGCGCCACCACACCCAGTCCTCTTTTTTTCTTTTTAAAATTATATTTATTGGTTGCATGTGTACGTGTGTGTAAGCAGGTGTGGAAGTCATCGGACAGCTTGTAGGAGTCACCTTCCACCCTCTGGGATCCAGGGTTCCAACTCCGAGCTTCAGGCTTGGCAGCTCGCTCCGAGCCATGTCGCAGGCCTGTCACTGTTCTTATTCTTGCCGGCAATCTTTTTCATTGGACTTCTCAACAACCAGCGATTGCTTTTCTCGGTCAAAGGTACTGGCTGGTTATGTCACAACCTTCAGATTTTAAGTTGATAATACCTTTCCTCCTATTTATAGCTCTATATAATGGGCATATCTCTATGGCTTGGACGCCTACCAAACAACACCCGTTGGGGTACGGGGGAGGGGGTGAGGGGATAAGGGAGGAGCAGAGTGAGTGAGGGGAGGGGTAGAGGTGGAGGGAGGGAAGGAACAATACTAGCAAGAAGTGACTTTACAGGCGCCTTTTTGTTTACACGAACATATTTAGGGCTGACCGGAATAATTAAAAATACTTGGAAACGCCTCCAGGTTCCGGGAGTGCACTCCGCTCGCGGTCCTCACCTGGGGGTCCAGGGAACAGGACCCCGGGTTGCGGAGAAGGGTGGAGTCGAAGGATGTACGAGGACGCCTCAGGGCGAAACGCAAAGGCTAGGTTGGGCTGTTAGATTCTTGTTGGTTCTCTATACTTTTTTGACCGACCCCCCTCGCCCCGGCCCCGCCCTCGAATTTTCCCCGAGTGTGCAAGCCTGTCAAGCTGCAACACGCAGCCGCAGAGCGTTGTGCAAACGGTGTGGCGGGAGGGGATGGGCTGGGAGAGAGTAGTGAAGGAGGAGATGGGGGAGGGAGGCACCACGTGATTTTCTGGAACGCAGCCTCCTGGCTTCTTTATTTCGATATGGCAGTAAACTAATTTCCTCTCTCCAGAACGAGTCGGGTGAATGGAGGAATTGAGTCGCGTTCCTCTGGAAAGGCTTTCCTTTGAATGTCGTGAAGGAATTTGAGTTTGAGTTCCTTCCTCTCACTGAAGAATCGCTCCCGGTTCAAATCGAATGATTTATTTCTTTCTCTGTCTCAGAGACGCTTTCTAGACGGGATTCCCTTTCGAAAGAAAAGCTAAAAGTTGGTGTTTTTTTTTTTTTTTTTTTTTTTTTTTTTGTCCTGCAAAGCATTTCTGAATGATGGAGGGACCAGAGAGCTTGAAAAGTCACTTTGACATACTCTGTCCCTTAGTAGCGGAATCCCAGAATCCAGAGGTGCAGGAGATACTGAGTTCTCAGTCATCCTGAACTACATAACAGAGTTTGAAGCCAGCCTGGGCAGTATGAGACCCCACCATAAACAAGAAAACATTCAACAGTCTAGAACGGAGGAAACGTAGTCCGTGATGTCCAATGCACTTCCTTCCTCAAACTCATTCACAGAAATAAAATCGCTTTATAGACAGATAACCAACCTTTTTTTGTTTGTTGTTTATGGTTTTTTTTCTTGTTTTTTCGAGAGCCCTGGCTGTCTTGAAACTAGCTCTGTAGACCAGGCTGGCCTCGAACTCCCAGAGATCCACCTGCCTCTGCCTCCCAAGTGCTGGGATTAAAGGCGTGCGCCACCACCGCCCGGCTGGAATGCCATCTTGTGTGTCATATTCTTTCATAAGAGACGTGGGTGAAAGGGAACAGTTTAGTGCTCTTAAATTATTAATTTATTTCTAAAATGTATTTTATTTCTATTTATATGCATTTGTGTATGTGCCAGAGCACATCTGTGTCCCAGCAGATGTGGGAAGACTGTGGGGAGGGGGACGACTCTGGAACCAGAATTACTGAGGTCGAGATTATCTTTCTATTAAAAGATACACACACACACACACACACATATATATATAGATATATATCCCTCTCTGGCAGTCTCGTGTAGCACAGGCTGGCCTTGAACTTAGTACATAGTGGTTGGATATCCTTCCTCTATTTCCTGACCACTGGGATTACAGATGTCCTCTACTGTGCCTGGTTTATGTGGCACTGGGGATGCAACCTGGGGCAGGCACTCCACAATTGAGCAACATCCCCAGCCCAAGAAAGGAAATATTTTATATTTTACTTTTTGTTGCTTCCGACTCTCTTGGGCAGATGTGTTTCAGCTGCCTGCTGTTGTGGCTCCGCATCTGTCTGTTAGAAATGACACAGGTTGGACTATATTCCACTGCTGGACAAGATTATGATAAGATTATGCAGGGAGTAGGCAGGCTCTGTCTATAAAACCTGGAAAGTATTTTAGCAGGGTCGTGGTGACACATTTAATCCTGGCACTGGGGAGGCAGATGCAGATGGGTCTCTGTGAGTTCAAGGCCAGCCTGGCCTAAATAGGGAGTTTTAAGAGTCAGGGCTATGTAATGAGACCTCATCTAAACCAGGCAAACAAACAAACGTCACCACCAGTCATAATCGCAATTTTTAAATTTCTTATTTTTTTTTCTTTTTTCTTTCTTTCTTTATTTTTTAAATTTCTTATTGACGGCCTAGTAAGATAAAGGTAAATTTGCCTCACAAGCCTGATAATCCTAGGAACTCACAGAAAAGGGAGGAGAAGACAACGGAGGCACAGATCGGCCTCTCAGTTCCACATCTGGGCTTTGGCACATTTATACACGAGCACATCACTAATAATAATAATACATTTTTGTTTTGTTTTGTTGTTTTAAAAAAAAAGACTTGGTGAATGAATGATGCAGCCTGTATCACCTGCTTCCCTTGCAGTCACGATGCAGGGAGAAACCGAGACAGCTAAATAATTCAGGCTTAAGATCAGTTTCTTGGATGCTGTGTATTTGTGGACTGCATTTATCGCTGTCCGTCCTTAAGAACTTTTGGACAGTGCTTTGCCTCAGGCACCCCGGAGTGTGGCGTGAAGTTGGTGCCTCTCCAACGTCCAAAACAATGTCTGCTTTATCCACCCAGCTTATTGGGTAATTCCTTGAAAAGCAGGAGCAGGCATTGTTTACTGCTACGAACTGCTCAAACAACATTTTCAAGTCTTTCTCCGGTCTGGGGTGTGTGACTTAGCAGTGAGCAGCTTGCCTAGCATGGGTGAGGCCCTGGCTTGGATCCCATGCACTGTAAAACATAAAAATACAGGTGTTTTCTTGAAGCCGAGTCAGGGTTAATGACAAAGAACTGATCTGTGTTCTTAGGTTGAACATAAAGGTGCATTGAGCCAGGCAGGCATGGTGGCTCACGTCTGGGGGCCTTGCGCTCAGGAACTGGAAGCTGAGGGGAAGGGGCTCAAGAGCTGGCTACCTGAGACCTTCTCTCAAAAACCAAAATGGACTAAACAAAAGCACTGGGCTCACCGTCTAACTTCTGAGTGCCGGCAGTGGAGGTGCCAAGAGCATAGGATGAATCGATGTGCCGAGCGTGCGTGTGGGCTGTTGGAGGAAGTGGGCATGCCCCCGCGTTGGCGGAGGGTGCTGTTCACATCAAAGGCCTCAGCTTACTGCGGTGGGCTGTTGTAAACCAAGCTCTGGTGCCCTCCACTTGGGAAACTGAAGTCCAGTTGAGCACAAAGAGCCTCGCCATGAAGTAGGGCATGAATATGGCTGCCCAGGGAGCCTTTGCTCTCCGCCTCCCCTGAACTACCTTCCTCCCAGCTTTTCAGGGTTAGTGTCTAAGCCTCGAGTCAGAGGACCTCGTCCTAACCCTGTCTTCTGCTCACTACTGTGTGACTTTGAACAACTTCTCTGGACTCCCACTTTCTCAACTGTATAATGAACAGGCTTGTAGGGCTTTCGTTCTTGTAATTTTTTTTTTATTTTTATTTTATTTTTTTTTACTTTATGTGTATGAGTGTTTGGCCTGCATGTGTATATTGTGTGCTTGCTGCTCAGGGAGGTCAGAAGAAAGTGTTGTATTCCCTGCAGATGGGGTTATTGAACCTGGGCCCTCTGTATGAGCAAGGAATGCTTTTCCGGTATTTTGTTTTGTTTTGTTTTCCGAGACAAGGTTTCTCTGCATAGCTTTGGAGCCTATCCTGGAACTTGCTCTGTAGACCAGGCTGGCCTCAGACTCACAGAGATCTGCTGGTCTCTGCTTCTTGAGTGCTGGGGTTAAAGGCATGCACCACCACCACCCAGCTGCAAGTATTCTGAACCACTGAGCCATCCCTATGGCTCAGTTCTTGTAATATTTAAAATATTAGTTTTAAATTTTTGATTATGTGTGTATGGGTGTGTCTGTGTGTGGGCATGTGCACTTTAAAGCGATACCCTCAGAGGCCAGATCCAGAGGATGTGAGATCTCTTGGACGTACATCTGTCTGATTCCCTTAAGCCAGCGTCTCAAGGACCTGGAGCTAGGCTGGTGGTCCTCCTGTCTACACGCCTCACCACCCTGCGTCATGGGTGCAGAGCCACATCTGACTCTTTAGCGCGATTCTGGGGATTTGAACTGAGGTCCTCACGCTTGCATTTATTCCCTGAAACATCTCCCCAATTTGCTTTTTGGCTTTTTTGGATAGGGTTTAGCCGTGTAGGGCAGGCTGGCCTCAATCTTGTGTCCCCAGAGTGCTAGGATCACAGACAACTGTCACCACACCCCTCCTGCTCTGGGGTTGTTTTAATCAAGTTTAATCAAGATTACCATCACCATAAGAATAGTGATGTTTGTATAGCACTGATTATTACAGGTTCTGGACTTTGACCCAAGCTTACAGGTCAAAATCTAATCTCCTGTGTGCTGGTAGGTAGGGCCTTTGGGAGGCAGTAGGTCATGGGAGTGGGGTCTCCTGAAAGGGTATGAAAATGCACTCTTTTATAAGACAGACTGTCATGTTGACCCCTGCCTGCAATCCCAGCATTTGGAGAGGTAGAGGCAAAAGCACCAGGAATTCAACACCATACTCGGTTACATAGTGTGTTTGAGGCAAGCCTGGGCTACAGAAGATTCTATCTCAAGAAGACAATGAAGGAGAGGAGGAGGGGCGGGAGGAGGAGGCCAAGAGAACTCATTTGCTTTTTTTCTACCCAGTGGAGATACAAGACGTCGGCTGGCTGCAGCCTGGACGAGGGTTCTCAAAGATGCTCCCACGCTGGTCTTGTGTTTTCATCCTCCCTGGTGGGAAGAAACAGATGCATGTTTTAGTAGAGGCCCCCGTCTATGGTAAGGTATCAGTTTGAGCCAAGGTAGGGCGTTTTATGTCTCAGATAATTCCGCACTTCAGCCGTCACTTCCAGAATCCATCGAGGTAGGTGAGTTCAGTCTGGAGACAGGTTCGCATGGAAAGATGGCGTGCACCCCTGCACACCTCCCCTCTTTCTCTTCTTCCTCTCTCCCCCTCCCCTCAGTCCGTCCCTGCCTTTTCCTGTATGCAGCAATCTGTCCACATTCCTGTCTAGGACACAGAGGGAAACGAATAAAAGAACAGCTATGGATTAGTAGGAATATAAAAATATATATAAGGGGTCAGAGAGACGGCTCAGTCAGTGGTTAGGAGTACCGGATGCTCTTGGAGAGGACCCAGCTTGGGTTCTGGCACCCACATGGCACCACACACCTATCTGTAATGCCAGTTCCAGGGGATCTAACATTTCTGGCCTCTGTTGGCGTCAGGCACACATGTGGCTCACATACAAACACTCAGGCAAAACATTCGTACACATAAAAATAAAACTTCCTGAAAAATTATTATGTTTATTTGTGTTTGTGAGGGGGCATGTGCAGAGGTCTGAGGTCAACTCGTAGGAGTCAGCTGCCTCCTTCCACCCTGTGGGTTCCAGGGAAAGGAGCCAGCTCAGGTCACCAGGTTCGGCTGCAAGCGTCTTTACCTGCTGAGCTATTTTGCAGGCCCTCAATCATTTTCCTACTCATGCTTGTGGTTATGTGTAGATGTGGCTTCAGGTGTGAGTCTCACAGGACTGAGGACCTGATGAGTAGCTCAAACCAGGGAGAAAGAAGAAAAAAGATGCTTTGTACTGCACCGGCACAGACAGCACACCCTGAGTGAGAGGAAACCTCAGCCGGGGCTGCCACTTGGTGTGAGTCAGTGCGGTAAGGGAGCCGAGAAAGTTGTAATTCAATTCTTTTTTTTTTCCCCTTCATTTTTAGAGACTGGCTTTTTCTGTGTAGCCTTGGCTATCTTGGCACTTGGCACTCACTCTGTAGACCAGGTTAGTCTCCAACTCACAGAGATCCGCCTACCTCTGCCTCCTGAGTGCTGGGATTAAAGGCCTGTGCCACCACGCCTGGCTATAATTATTAATTATAAGAATAAATATTCTAATAAATCTTTTTTAAAAAAATATTTATTTATTTATTTATTATGTATACAATATTCTGTCTGTGTGTATGTCTGCAGGCCAGAAGAGGGCACCAGACCTCATTATAGATGGTTGTGAGCCACCATGTGGTTGCCGGGAATTGAACTCGGGACCTTTGGAAGAGCAGGCAATGCTCTTAACCACTGAGCCATCTCTCCAGCCCTCTAATAAATCTTATTAACAGATTTTTTTTTTCAGTCCCACTGTGCATTCAAGTTGTTTCTGGGCTTCATGAGGCTTTAGTTTAAAACAACAGAGTTCAACTTTAAAGGAAAACACAAAAGAAAATGAAAATCACCTGAGATTCTGTCTCCTAGGCTATGTCTCCACATCTTACTGAATGTCACGCCACACTTTTCAAATGCTTGCTGGAATGTAGCAAGATTCCAGTTCAGTTCCCAGCACCTACATCAGGTGGCTCACAACCGCTTGTAATTCTAGCTCCAATTGGCACTACATGTACGTGTATACAGACACACACACATGTGTGCACACACACATACACACATACATGTGCGCATGCCCATGCATTACCCCCCCCATATATCCAATTAAAAACTAAAAATTTTTAAAAGGAAACTTTTAAAAAGGATTTTTGGTATATTAAAAAAAAAGACCTTAAAATTGGCTGTCCTGGAAGTCACTCTGTAGACCAGGCTGGTTTCCAACTCAGAGATCCTCCTGAGTGTTGGGATTAAGGGCGTGTACTATCACTACCCGGCTAAAAAAGCTTTTTTAAAAAAGACAAAAGCAACATTTACCTTTCTCCTACTTGGTTCTGTGTGGACAATGAGACTAAATTATCCTCACTCTGCATGTGAGTACTTTTATTTACTCGGTTGTTGGTTCTGAGACTGAGTGTCTCCAGAAACTCGGGCTAGCCTGCAACTCCCTGTGCAGCTGGGGCGGGACTTGATCTCCTGGCCTTCCTTCCTTCCTCCCTTTGGTGGGATGGTGCTAGGGACAGAACCCAGGCCTCCTGCATGCCAGGCCTGGGTTCTGCCTACTGAGCTACACTCCCCCAGCGCTCACCGCTCAGGAAGAAGAATGTCTCCAGCACAGCAGACGGCTTAGTTTTCCCGCTTTGCCCATGTTACCCTCGAAGAGAGATGTAGATCCGAGTTCGGTGTGACCCTGTGACCTGGAGGTAAAATCTGCCTTCAGCACTAGAACAGAGACACAGGAGAAGCCTTCTTCTTTTCCAGCTCTTCGGACACCACGAGTCCAGGAGATTTAAGATTTAATCGTGTGATGTATAATGAACGGCCTGCTCCTTCAGTAGACGGTAGTGCCTTCCCAAGTTTCCTAATTCTTTCAAGTTCCTGTATTTTTTTTTTTTTTTTTTTTTTTTTTTTTGAGACAGGATTTCTCTGTGTGACAGCCCTAGCTGTCCTGGAACTAGCTCTTTTATTTAGACCAGGCTGGCCTCGAATACAAGTGCTGGGATTAAAGGCATGCACCACTACCACCTGGCTCAAATTCCTGTATATCTTAATAAGACCAAATGAATGGGGTTTAGAGCTGTGTTCTGCACAGACAAGAGCACGCTGAACAGCCCTGATTCTCAGGAAGCAGTAGACATTCAGTTCAAACAAATAAGCAAAAAACAGTTGCTAGGCGTGGTGGCTCATTCATGCTTTTAATCTCAGTCAGTTACCCAATGAGACTCCATTTCAGAGAGAGAGAGAGAGAGAGAGAGAGAGAGAGAGAGAGAGAGAGAGAGAGAGAGGAGAAAGAGAAAGAGAGAAAGAAAGAGAGAGAAATTGTGGACCAGTGTAGGCTCCTGAGGTGTCTTAACCAGTAAAGGCACGGGCTGCCATGCCTGTTGTCCTGAACTGAGTTTGAGCCCCAGGACCCATACTATAGAAAGGTGTGCCCTGACTTTCACACTCAGGCTGGTGGCGTGTTCACTCCTAACACACACACAAACACACTGAGAATATACAAATAAATGAGTTATTTGAGACAGGTGTGTATATGTACAAGAGTATGTGTATGTGAGAATATTACTAAGTGTGTGTGAGAGAGTTTACTGAGTGTGTGTGTGTGAGTGAGTTACTGAATGTGTGTGTGTGTGAGTGTTACTGAAGATGAGAGTGTGTGTGTGAGAGAGTGTTACTGAGTGTGTGTGTGTGTTAGTCGAAAGCCCAAGGTAGAGGTGTATTCACACTTGTAATCAAAGTATTTGGGAGGGTGAAAATGAGGAATCAGGAATTCAAAGCTAACTCTAGTTTTAGAGCAAGTTTGACACTAACCTGGACAACATCCCACGCACATGCGCACGTGCGCGCACGCGCACACACACACACACACACACACACACACACACACACACTCACACCACCCAAATTGAATAAGGTAATGTCATGTCATACAGCAAAGCTAAAAAGCACTTCCCAGTTTTATCAGCCATAGTGAATGTAACGAGACAGAATTATTCAGTGACAATTAACAGGTAAGCTGTGGTATGGAGCATGCTTTAAATAGCCCCAGGCTTTGCAAAAGCCGGGACTTGTAAGCCAAGGGCTACGGGCGCCTTCTCAGGTTTGGTTCACCTGAGCCGGTATTTAAACACTTTGAAAACGGTGCTCGGCATCTCTAACGGAAGCTCCGGTTTCTGGCTTTCCTTGACAAAACGGATGTCCTTCGAGCCACGCAGAGTCCAATCCCCAATCTCTGTGGCTGTGGAGGGGCTAGGTGCACTGCCACACACACCTGTGAGGCCAGGGCCTCTTACCTGTAGCTGCCCGCCCTCTTACCTGTTTGGCCCCAGTAGGTGTTTAGACTTCGCCACACCCTTTTCAAGTTGGAAGCGTGTGCCGGGGCAGGTCTCTTTATGGCAGGCTGTTCCTGCCGCGCAGAGAAGCTGGCCTGTTCTCACTTCCACTTTGTGAGACCTGAGAGCTTGTACTTTGTTCTTTGTGTTCAGAAAACCAGCCAGGAGTAGAGAGGAGTCTCTCTCCTGCGAGTTGGTGCCATCGGGGACATTGAAATCCTGGCTCCCGAGCACATGGGGTGGGGGAGGGGAAGAATGGCAGCCAGGAAGAAGGGAGGGTGTGGGGATTAGGGAGTAGCCGAAACACTAGTACTCACCACATTTTTATGTTCTTTTTGGGGGAAAAGACAAATCTCGATTCGACTGCTTGTATTCATTTAGTTTTTTAAGTTGTCCCCTTTCTGTGTAGAATTAAACACCAGGACGTAGTTTTGCTGCTGTCAGAACAGCAGACGTTTTAGACGTGGCAGATTCTCTCTTAGATAAACACATGGCTCTGCCTCCTGAATAAATGTAAGGACAACCGCCCAGCTTCTGGCACGACTTGAAGGTGGCCTGGTTGGCCTTGCCGTATTTTCTTCTCCAGCGGTAGGTGCTGGCACCAGAGTCTGCCCTTTCCTGCTGTAATCCTACCAAACTCTGAATTTTGCTTTATGAAGAACGCACCCCCCCCATTATTATTTAGTTTGATTGTATGCTAGTCTCATGCTCTGCCTTCTAATTTAAATGGAACTGCGCAGGAAAAAATGCAAATCCCCTCCATTCAAATCCAAAAGAAAATAAATGGATTTTTTTATGGCCTAAAGGATCTATTCAATACCAAATCATTTATCTTTTCAGGAAACGCGGCTTATATATCCCATAAGCTGGAGGGCTGTCTTTATTGTCTTCATTTCCCTCCCCCCCTTTGATACATTTGCTTGTTCTCTCAAATCGCCCCAAATCTCTGCCGATAGGGGCGGCTTAGATCAGGCAGAATAAGAATGTAATTAATATCGCTGAACGGAGAGCAAAGCTTGCATAAAAAGCTGCCCGTGCTCACAGTGGAAACAGTAATAAACAGACCTAAAATTTGGTAAGGGGAACTTCCTTCTTCCTTCAGCAATCACAGTGTTTAAAGGGGCAGACACTTAGCTTTACCAGAGCAACCAGGCTGGTAAAGGTGTGTGTGTGTGTGTGTGTGTGTGTGTGTGTGTGTGTGTATGAAGAGAGGGCGTGTTTTTAACTGACTGCCTTCTTCCCTGGCACGGATCTGCAGGAGAGCTAGGAGGTAGCTTACTGTTGGGAGTCTGGCGTGTGTAAGCCAGCCTGGGTTTTTACTAAGTACTGCCTTATATTTATCTCTTGATTAAAGAATCCAATGTGGAGGCAGGGCCTGGAGAAGGTGCCCGGGCACACAAACAGCTGGGGTACACCAAGCGGTTACACACCTCTCGCCTTACTGGACCTATAGCACTTCTCCTATTATTGTGTGTGTGTGTGTAAAATCTTAAATCTCACACATATATGAATATAACAATATAGATCAAGATTTAATCTTAAAATATTTTTACTATCTGTGTGTGTGTGGACATGAAGCCAGGGCCCATATGTGCAGAGGCAACGGATCAGTTCTGTCCTTCTACCATGTAGGCTCTGGGACCTGAAGTCAGCCGACTGGGCTTGGGGGTAGTGCTTTTATCCATGGGGTATGCCATTGCAGACCTGACCCCCGTTTTTCCTTTTCCTTTTTCTCTCTTAAGACACGGTCTCATTACGTGGCTTTGGCCAGCCTGGGACTCACAGAACTCTGCCTGCCTCAGCCTCCCAAGAGAAAGGATTAACGGTATGTGTCCTCACTGGCCAGCTTGGAGATTTACTTTTATTAATTTAACTTTTGGATCTAGAAAGATGTCTCAGTGTTAGAGTACTTTCTGCTTTTCCAGAGGACTGAGTTTGATTCCCAGCACCTATGTTTCTACTCACAATTGCTTATAACTCCAGCTTCAGGGGATCCAACACACTCTCCTGGCCTTCTCAGGCGCTGTGCTCACCTGTACAAACCCACACACAGATGCATTCATATACACATAATTAAAAAATAAAGTATTTTGGGCTGGAAAGATGGTTCAGAGGTTAGGAGCATTGCCTGCTCTTCCAAAGGTCCTGAGTTCAATTCCCAGCAACCACATGGTGGCTCACAACCATCNTAGGAGCATTGCCTGCTCTTCCAAAGGTCCTGAGTTCAATTCCCAGCAACCACATGGTGGCTCACAACCATCTGTAATGGGGTCTGGTGCCCTCTCTTGTGGCTTGCAGGCATACACACAGACAGAATATTGTATACATAATAAATAAATAAATGAATAAAAATAAATAAATATAAAAATAATTGTTTAAAAAAATAAAAAAATAAAGTATTTTAACACCATATGTTTGTGGATGTGCGTGTAACCAAGTGTAGGTACCCATGGAGGCCAGAAGAGGGTGTCAGATCTCCCGGAGCTAGAGTTACAGGTGGTATCTGGCACCAGACACTGAATGCTGGGAACAGAACTCTGGTTCTCAGAAGAACAACAGGCATGTTTAACCCCTGAGCCATTTCTCCACACCCCCTTCCTCCTTTTGAGGTCAAGACGTCCTCAAATTCAGGGAGCCTCCCTTCCCCAGCCTCTGGAGAGCTAGCATTCCAGGCGGGAGCTGTCAAGGCTGGCTTCCTTCCAGAGCTGGAAGGTTTTGAGGAGAGACAGGGGGCAAGCACATGGCACTGGGTTTCATATTTTCAGCCATTCGCCTTTCTCTGTCGGAGCACATCTTAAAGTCCTATGATTGCCTTGACTTTCCTCGTTTGTGTTTCTGTAGTCACTGGGCTTTCGGCGCAGGCGCAGTGACGAGCACGCCTTTGTTCTCACTAGATTCAGCCCGATAGATAATCTGGTTTAGTTATGGCTGCATTGTTTAAATCTCACTAATTACAGCGCACTGCTATGCAGTGCCAGTGGGGGGACATTTTAAATGCTCACTGGAAGAAGGGAGAAGGTAGATCAAGCTAAGAAATGTACAGTTTCTCAAACCTGTCCCCCAGGGCCAATTTAAAGTTTGTCTTGCCAAGCTGTTTACATTGAAAGTCTTAAACACACTAGGCGTGTTTCCAAGCAGACAGGGGCTTGGAGGAAATTGGGAGATTTGGGGGGCTGATCCTGAGCTTCCCAAAATGCTTTCTGCTCCAGGTTACTCAGGAGGGAAGGACTGGGGAGTGGCCAGGCCCATCCACAGCTTCTGAGGTGAAAGGAAGACAAGGGGGCTGGAGAGATGGCTCAGTGGTTAAGAGCACTGCCTACTCTTCCAAAGGTCCTGAGTTCAATTCCCGGCAACCACATGGTGGCTCACAACCATCTGTAATGAGGTCTGGTGCCCTCTTCTGGCCTGCACGCGTACACACAGACAGAATATTGTATACATAATAAATAAATATTTAAAAAAAAAAGAAAGGCCAGGTGGTGGTGGCGCATGCCTTTAATCCCAGCACTCTGGAGGCAGAGGCAGGCGGATCGAGACCAGCTCTGGTCTACAGAGCGAGGTCCAGGACAGGCTGGAGAAACCCTGTCTCGAAAAACCAAAAAAAAAAAAAAAAAAAAAAAAAAAAAGGAAGACAAGGAGAGGGTCTGGAAAGAGGGGGAGACGGCGGAGGGAGGAGCTGGGTGTGTGTGGGGTTCAGCTGTGCAAGCACAAGGAGTGACTGAGGCTCACTGGCCTGCTGCTCTAGCATTTTGGGTAAACTTGAGGTACAGTGAGAGGTCTTGTCTCAAAATATAGAGAGTTACAGGGGAAGAGACCTGGCACGGACCTCTGTCTCCCCTACAAAAAACAAACAAACACACAAACAAACCAAACAAGAGGTGGAGGCAGGAACACACCGGGCCAGGCCACAGAACCAAGCGTCAGGAATAAACTAGCATTTAATGAGGGGCCTTGTGAAGTGCCCTGTTTCCTTGGGATTAGAATAGAAGGGAAAATAGGGGCTGGATAAAGCAGTGTTTAGCTATGCTACTTCTTTTGGCTTCTAGGGGTACGTTCTTAACCTCCTGTTGTCCTCCACTTTGTGATTTATCTGGGGAATTCCCGGGGCAGGGTAGAGGGCACATCTAGGGCTTGGCATGGGGAACTGAGCAAAGCAAATGTACATTGGAGTGTATTTAGCAGCGGACACTTTGTAGCACCGAGAAATAAGACCGAGAACAACTAAAAAGAAACACAAAGTGCCGGGCGGTGGTGCCTTTAATCCCAGCACTTGGGGAGGCAGAGGCAGGCGGATCTCTATGAGTTCGAGACCAACCTGGTCTACAGGAGCTAGTTCCAGGTCAGGCTCTAAAGCTACAGAGAAACCCTGTCTCGAAAAAAGCAAAAAAACAAAAAAAAAGAAACACAAAGTGTTGTTCTGGAATGAAAATCCTGGAATGCTAAGCCTAAGTGGGGCAGATTGTCTAGGAGCACAGATTTCTGGGCTTTGTTTTTTGTTTTTTCTATATATCATACATCATGAGGTTTAGTGGCTTTACTAGGTGGCTGGCAAAGGCAGTTGCACTTCAGGAGGAAGGAAAGAGATGACCGGAGAGTCACACAGCCGGTGCCAAGGTCGACTTGCTCACTTAACAAGTTGAAACAGTAATGCAGAAAACATTTTTTTTTTTTTAATTGGGAGCGTGGGGAGAGTTGACTTTAGCTGTCCCTGTGTTTCCAGGAATTGTCCAGGATTCTAGGCTCCAGGGGTGTCAGCTGGAGGAGGCCTCTGAGAGGCGAGATTCTGCTGCTTAACTGCTGGGCTGACCTGCTCCATGGCGCAAAACCTGGACAAACGAGTTAAACCTTCTGCACCTCTGTTGTCTAGGCTGTGAAATGTACCTGGTAACAATTCAGTCTGGCTGGCTGTTGGAGGGGCTGAATTCAATAAGGTTGGTTGGTTGAGCAATGGCTACACATAGCTTAAGGCCAAAGAAGTCTAATGACTTGCCTCGTGGGCATAAGAACCTTGACTTAATTCCTGGTACTGTCTACACACGCGTGTGAACTACACACACACACACACACACACAAGGATCTGGTATGATGTCAATGCATTTTTAATTATTCCTAGTGGAACATGCTGGCACATGCCTCTAATACCAATGTTTGCGGGCTGGAGACAGGAGGATCAGGAGTTCGAGGTCGTCACCATTTTAGGCCTGTCTGGGCTACGTAAAATCTGATCCCCCAAAAAACCAAAAACATAAAATTATTTTGGAA